TGTGGTTTTTCTATAAAATGGAATATTACTCAGCCATAAAGAATGAGAAAATAGATTCATTCATAGGAAAATGGATACATATTGAAGATATACTCCTAAGTGAAATAAATAAGTCACACATGTGTAAATACCGAATTTTTTCCCTGGTGTAAATATTCTGCAACAATGCATAAGATTCTAATAAGATTACTGACATTTAGAAATGGGAAGAAAGGAGCTAAAGGTGTAGGGAAGGTGTTATGGGTAGGGGAAGAGTAAAAAGGGAAAAGAAAAAAATGTGAGAGAATGAAAATACAGTGTTTGTAGATGGGGAGGGGAGGAGGGGTGAAGGGAGGGCAGAGGTAAGGGGAAAAAATGAGAATCAAGACTTGTCATGTAGAGGTACAAGATCCCAACAATGAATGTAACTGTACTGTATCCCTAAAATGTACCAATAAACTCAATTAAAGCTGAAAAAAAAAAAAAGGAGAAACTCTAGCCTTGGGTATCCCAGACACTGGTGTAGTGCCAAGAGGACAGGTGCTATGATGAAAACAGAGTTAATGAGTGTCAACTATACAATACATCATTAAGAAGCACAATGCTGTCAGGAAGCAGACTTGGAAGTAAAGCATGAAGGAAGTCTAGCATGGAGTGCTTGGGAAGGGAAGAAAAGGAAGGAAGCAGAACTGGGCAAAGGGAGAAGCTGAACTATAATTCATTCTCAATGAATTCCTTGGCTGGCCCCATAGTGAACTACGAGGACCCTTCAGACTTGTAATGAACTGGGACAAATAGGTTGTTGTTTGGGCCTTCACACCTTCTAGATCAAGGCACTGATCTGGGGAGGCTGTGGAAAAGGGGTATAACTTTAGGTGGATTAGTACTAGTTCTCTTCATACAGGCAATTCCTGAGGAAAGCTTGTAACTGAGAGCTGTCAGTAGCAATTACTCCTGTTGGGAGAAGAGGTCTTCTAGTCCTAAAGAGAGATCTGATGGGCTTATCATAGTATCTGGTGAGTAACAAGACCCCCTTTCCCAGTTAATTTCCAGAACACTAGTAGTCATTTTTGTCCCCCATATCTATTGGTCATTAAAACAGCTGGAAGATACTGCTGTGGGAAAACTAACCAGTCAAACAAAAAAGATATACATATAGTATAGTGACATTAGGAGGTCCTTTTGAGCTACACTGAAGTCCCAGGTGATAAGACCCTCTCATGTGCACCAAATTTCCAATCAGCTTTTTAGTGCCTCTTTTTTTTTTTTTTTATAAGATAGGGTCTCACATGTAGTTCAGGCTGGACTTGAATTCACTATGTAGCCCAGGCTAAACTCAAATGCATGGCCTCTTATTCTTAAATATAATCAAATACCAAAACAAACAAACAAACAAACAAACAAACAAACAATCAGATAAATTCTTCAACATAAAAAAGAACACTATGGGCCCAGGGATTTAGCTCTGCTGCCTGCCTCAAGTGCAAAGATCAGTTTGATCCCTGGTACCAAAAAAACAAAAACAAAAAAGAACACTAAATCAAATGGGGACAGGGGTTGGAAAAATGAAACACATAAAGAATTAAAAGAAAAGGGGCTGGGGATGTAGCTCAGTGGTTCCAACGCCTGCCTTGCAAGCACAAGGTCCTAGTTTTATCCCCAGTACCAGAAAAAAAAAACAAAAAAAACAAAAAAAACAAAACCTAAGCTGGATATGGTGGTGTCTAACTATAATCCCAGCTAGCTTCTGGAGAGGCTGAGGCAGGAAGACTGAAAGTTCAAGCTGAACTTGGGCAATTTAGTGAGATTTTGTCTCAAAAAAAGGGCTAGACGTGTATCTCAGTGTGAAAGTCCTGGGTTTAATCTTTAGTATTGGGGGATTATTCTAGAATTACTATCTGCAGATAAGAAAAATAAAACATTCTATTCATCATGAGAACAAGATGCTAAAAAAAGGAAAAGATGCTGGGGGTATAGTTTCAACATGCAAGGCCCAGGGTTTGTATTGCAAAACAAACAAACAAATACCCCAAAAGAATAGCCAGAAAAGGACTTTTAAAAATTAAAAACAAATACAAATAAAAAGAAGATGATGTGAAGACACACAGGGAAGGTGTCACAGAAAAGATGGAGGCCTGGTGTACTGCATCTAAAAGCCAAGGAACATATAAGGCTATAAAAAGCTACAAGAGAGGTTCAGTGTCTTCAGAGCACCAGGGCCCTGCTGGTAGACTGACAATGGTCCCAGAACTCTGAGATAAGGTTTGTGTTAAACCACCCAGTTTGTGTACTTTAATACGGGACCCCTAGAAAACCAATACAGGGATCCTCAATATAGAGTTAAAAACGAGTGGAACAATGAAAAGAACATTAAATTGTGAATGAGAAGTGAACAAATTTCCTGAAATCTCTGTCACTAAGTAACTCAGTTAACATTTATTAAAGAAAATATTAATACATTTACTAAAGAAATGGTAACACAAATGTGCCGCTGCCATGTTGCTAAAGAAAATATTTCCTTGTAAAACTGGTATAAGGAAGGCAAAATAAATAGTACATTTGTAAGTTTTTGGATGTTTAGTGGGACCTTTCTAGGCACTTACCTCTCTAAGTATTCTGCAAGAAGTTGTTCTGCGGCAGATGAGTACATCCATTCACTTCCAACTTTCTTAGTATATCCAGGTACCTCCTCATTTTTTTTGTTGAATTTGAGATTTAAACCCACATTTGCTTTGTGGTCTCCATGAGGGCTGAATTTAAATCACACACACAAATTTTACAGATTGTTCAAGCAATAAAACATTTTCCTTTCAAAGTTTAGAAAAGTTCAGTTTTAATTATTTTTTCTTTTCTTTTAAAAAATGGTATTCTGAGACAAAGTTTTTCTATATATTCTAGTCTGGCCATGAACTGAAGATCCTCCTGAGTGCTGGGATGTTAGGCCTGTGCCACCATGCCCGGCTCTGTTTTGATTGTTCTTTTATATTTTAGTTACTATGTTTATTTCCAACAAGCAGTAACTGAAAAACCAGAGTAAGGACTTTGAATGCCAAGTCAACAAAGCATATAAATAAATCATGTAATTACAGAAGAAAATGAAATAACAAAATGCAAGGAAGTATATTGTTGAGGTTCACACACACCATCTGATACCTTTTTTCAAGGTTCAACTTGTTTGCAGCTAAAAATAAAAACTGTCTTTTCAACAATCTACAACACATGGTATTTAGATAAAAGATCACCATCAAAGGCCTGTATGCACAATTTTAAAAGATAATTCACAACAGTCAATAAGGCAAATAAATACTGAAATATTAAGCACTTCATCGTTACCATTTTTTTTTTTGCCATTTAAATAAATTTCTCTAACAAAAACTTACTTTCTCCTAGATCCTCTTCCAATAAAAATACTTCCTGTAAACCTTGAAACAAGGTATCCACTCACTCCAAGGCGACTGGCCAACACATATCCTGGGTTGTACTTTATAGAATATTTCTTTAAATATAAAAACAAAAAGGTCAATTACAGAAACACAATTTTATTTTAAATATTTCTTTACCTTTAAAATTAGAGATAATTAAGACATCACTCCCCCCCCTTTTTTTGGTACTGGGGATTGAACTTGGGATCTTGTGCTTACAAGGCAGGCAGTGGCACCACTGAGCTAAATCCCTGGCCCTCCTCCATTTTTTGAGACAGAGACCCCTTTTATAGTCCAGGCTGGCCTTGAACTTGTGGTGATCTTCCTACCTCAGCCTCCCTAGTGCTGGGATTACAAGTATGCATCACCACATATGCCCAGCCAATTTCCTTCCTCTTGAAAGATTTTAAGGCAGAATTTTTCTGCTTCTCTTTCTCTTTAAATCAGAATTCCCAAGGATGGATGAAGAGGAGAAGAAATATACAGTTTGTGAAATTGCCTCAAAAAATAAGCTGTACTATAAATACTAAATTGCAAACTTCACCGGCAATGTTTTTTCCAGTTATGGTGAAACTGAACCCACAGCCTCAAACATAGTAGGCAAGTACTCTACTACTGAGCTTACAGCCCCAGTCATTTTTTAAATTTCATTTGGAGACAAGATCTCACAAAGCTGCCCAGGCTAGCCTTAAATCTGTGATCCTCCCTCCCAAGTACTTGGGATTACTGGTGTATGCCACTATGCTCAGATTTTCATTTTTAAAATTATTATTATATTTTTGGTACTGGGGCTTGAACTTGGGGACCTTGTGCTTGCAAAGCAAGCTGTGGAACCTCTAAGCTAAATCCCCAGCCTGCTCAGTTTTTTGTTTTTTAAACCCATCTTCACATTCTAAGCAGTGCCTAGTAAAGGACCCAGGACAAAATGAGGTCTTAATAATTATTACATTGAATTATATTTACTATTACATAAACAAGAAATAAGTATGTATAGACTTATGATTAACACATTCCATGAAATTAAACTTAATTTGTACACTTAAAGGAAGAAGCCAGGATTATCATAAAATTAAAAAAGAAAAGGGTGGGTATTTAGCTCAGTGGTTCTGTGCCTGCCTGGAAAGTCCAAGGTTATGGATTAATAATGGGTCCAATTTAAGTTTTTTTTTTTTTTGTACTAGGGATTGAACTCAGGTCCTTGCGCCTGTGAGACAGGCAGTGGAGCCACTGAGTTAAATCCCCGGCCCAGTTTAAATTCTTAAATGATTAAAAAAAATCAGCACTTTCCCCCTAAAAACTTTACATGAATTTGTGGTGTGTGGTGCTAGAGATCAAACCTAGGACCTGTACATGCTAAGGCAGATTAACATGAATATTTTTTTTCTTTTATGCCAGGGATCGAACTCAGGACCTTGTGCTTGCAAGGCAGGTGGTGGCACCACTGAGCTAAATCCCCCGCCCCTAACATGAAGTTTAAAGCACATTTATTCCTCCTTGTCCCATGCCCCAGGTACTGAAGACCAAATTCAAGATTGTGCAACCACTGAGCTACATTTCAACCGTTTATTTTGAGATAGGTTATCACTAAGTTTCCCAGGCTGGCTTTGAACTTGCAATCCTCCTGCCTCAGCTTCCTGAGTAGCTGAGATTAAAGGCATGAGCCCATGAGCCACTCTGTGTGGCTCCACACTTATTCTTAAAATATCTGAAATAAATTTAAAAGAGGTGGCAAAATATTTTTAAAGTTTATTGCTTTTAAATGAAATAATAACAACTACTATACTCACATGCTGGTTCTGTATTAAAGCATCAAGATTGGGTTCGCACGGAATGCTGAAAACTACACGAATTCTGCCTTCTGTAATCACATCACCTGAAACTTGAACCTTAGAGGTTAAAAAAAAAGTCAGTTAGTCTCTTTCATTCAATTTTATTTATTTTTCTATTTATTTTAATGGGTATTATTTCTCAAGTACAGTCTGACAATAAAACTAGATACTGGAAATTCTCCTGAAATTTGCAAGTGGATATGATAATATTGTAAATTTGAATCATTTTACCCTGGCTTTAATAGGTATTAATCATTCTTATTTTACTTTATTATTTATTTTTTGGTACTGGGGATCAATCATTCTTATTTTAATTATTTTTAAAAACAATTTCAAAGTAAGGGCTGGGATTTAGCTCACTGGTTCTGCTGCCTGCCTTCTAAGCACAAGGATCCAAGTTCAATCCCCGGTACCATAAAAAAAAAAAAAAAAAAAAAAAAA